AAATTAAAGTATAGAAACTGCACATCAATTTAAAATAAATAAGTAGTTTTTTCACAAAGGAAAGAAGTCTTACTCGGCAAATTTTGTTCCCAAAGTTTTAATTGCACAGCTAAATCGCGCACGTTATCTGTGTTTCAAATATATTTATATTTGGTTCTTTTAAAATAATGCTTACAACTGCATATTAAAATAGTAAACGTCAAAATATATCTACGAATTCATGGCAACATAATATTATATATAATACATATAAAATACCCGTTTTTGTTTTTTACCGTTGCGTGGAGACTTTCTCAATCAACGCTTTAATAATGCAAAACGCTGTTTGAATGAAATTTTTTTACTGAATTGAAATGTTTATAATGTTTAGTAATGATTAACGTGAAAATTATAAATAATTTTCACGTTAATCATTACTAAAATGTGTATTTATTGTATCTAATAGGTATAATTTACATTTACATGGACTGTATGCAATTTATTTCTCCATTATGATTTCCACTGTTTATTGGGATTGATGATTATTAAAAGTTGTAGTTTGGTTACGATGATAACGGCCACGTGGTGGCGCTACTAAGCGTATTGTTATGTATTCTAAATTAAAAAATAATACTTTGTTAACTTATTTATGACACGTTAGCATAAAATAAAATATAAATCCTTAATATTTAGGATTTATTACTTTTAACAATCAATACCCAACGGAATATTAATAGTTATTCAAATGTTAATTAATGATTATTATAAAGTCGGTATTTAGTTACATTACGGGGAGATCCCAAATTGTTCTTATAAACAACTACTTTAAATCTAGTCCTATTCATGTAACATCTGGTGTCCCACAAGGTGGGCATTTATCGCCATTACTGTTCAACTGTTTTATAGATGATATATGTTCCGTTGTTAAATCTAGTCAATGTTTACTTTTTGCAGACGATCTAAAAATCTTTAGAATTGTGAACAGTATTAGTGATAATCTACTGTTACAGGCTGATCTAGATCGGATTGCTATATGGTGTAAGTCCAATTATATGTCACTAAATTTAGGAAAATGTAAATGCATAAGTTTTTCTCATAAGAAATCTCCAATTTTATCACGATATAAGATACTTAATACCTATTTGGAAAAAGTGAGTGAAATTCGAGACCTAGGTGTTATGTTTGATAATAAATTAACTTTTGCTAATCACATAAGCGCTGTCACTAATAAAGCTTTTAAAATGTTGGGCTTTATTAAAAGGCAGCTTCTTGAGTTTGATAATGTGAACTGTTTGAGAACTGTTTTTATTTCATATGTGCGCTCTGTTTTAGAGTATTGTAGTATTATATGGTCCCCGTTTTATGACATTCATGTGCAACGTATTGAAAACGTCCAGAATAAATTTCTTCGTGTTTGTGCGTTTAAATTAAATTTAAAATTTGATGATCTAAATTATGACATTTTAAGGCAGATGATGAATCTTCAATCGTTAAGTATACGACGCGACCAATCGAGTTTAATTTTGTTGTACAAATTAATCAATAATGCAATAAACTGTCCAGAATTACTGGAATTGCTTAAGTTTCATGTTCCTCAAAGACAAGTAAGACACTGTTATTTATTCTATGTAAGCTCACATACCACCAATTATGGATTTAACTCACCAATTGATAGAGCAAGCAGACTTGCAAATGAATTGGATATTGACTTTTTTTGTAGTAGTTTAAAAAGATTTAAGTTGTCGATTCAGAATCTGTGATATTTACTTTTAATTTTATGTATACTAGTTTTAAGTTTTGCTTTGTTTATATTATGTGAATTGTATATATATATATATTTATAATGTATTGGTTATTTACCGTTGAATAAATATTATATTATTATTATTATAATATTACAAAATATGTTCTGGTTTTACAAATAAAGTAATCAGTAATAAGTTAATTTAAAATTTACCATGTATAGTGAAAACAAATCTTACGTAGTAAATTTTGCCTATCTCCGAATGCCAATTTATATTTAATTCTCGATGATAGTCTAATTATTTTTGGTTTATGTCCAATTTCCCAAATGATTGTTTTTTTATTACAGGTTTAGAAAATACGGCGAAGGGTCTAGTTAAGAAATAAAATAGGCTGCAAAACCAATCCAAGGGCTATAGTAATTTTCATGTTTCAAAGTTTGATTTAGTAACATCCGTCTGACATTTTTTAAACGATTGTATAAAAATTATAGCTATGTGATTGCAGAAAAACAACAAGTGTTATTTCTACTCCTATACGTATATTCCGTAATATATTACGGAATATACGTTCTAATATCACTTTTTAATGTGGAATGACATATATTCCTGAAAGTATTACAGAATGAATTATTCTATCATCTGATAACGGAATAAATACTGGTGGCGACATCTCTGTTTAATATCTAACAAATTTAGACCGATCCAACCTCATCTTTCTATTGTATTTTTTGAAAACGTATACGTTTCTATAGAAAAAGGATAGTCTGAAAGACGTTTGGAATTGCATATTCCGCTCTCGTGAAACCGTCAAACTCGCCTTCAGCTCGTGTGACAAACTTTTCATGCTGTATTCCAAACTTGTTACAGAATATACTATTCATTACTTTTTTACTTGCCTTACCATCTCCTTGAGAAATATACTATGACTGTTGAACAAACAGTGGTGAAAAGCACTATGCATTTTTTAGATAAAAGAAAAAAATCAATGGACTAAAAAATAACCAGTTTTAATTTATGACACACTGCTTCCGAGTTACCCAGAATTCGAACTAGTGGGATTAAAAAATGCGAACAAAAAACTCCAACATGTCCGCTATCAAACCAAACGACCAAAATTTATTGTAAATTAACTACAATACTACGAATTAATTAATCTACAAGTAATTAAGGGGAATCAAAAATGTGGCGACAATAAATAATTTTAAGGTTTATGGCGGTTATAACTATAGTGGACGACGGACAAGTTTTAAAACGGATTTTATTGATTTGTTTTATTTGATTTAAATTGGTGGAGCATTAAAAATAAACAGTTTTGGTATTTAGGTTTTTGTTTCTATTATTACCGAAATGCCGCTGGATCTTGTCAAGGTAGCAATTTAAGGTAAATTGAAATTGGAAGGGCGCGGACAAATATGCATAGAAAAATAACATCCTTATAAGAAAATGATTCCAGTAATACAGTTTTTATCAAGTGTGTCTAGAACCCAACTAAAAAACGAATTAATTACTTCGACAGGAAAGTAACGTTTCTGTTGGTGGAAAATTCATAGGAAAATCATACAAAAGAAAACTTTATTTTTTAAAACATTTTAAAAAAAAAAATCACTAATTAATTTCAGAAAACTGTATTAACCTAAATAACATTTATTCATTTTATTATCGTGCAATTTATATCATTTAACTAATGCCGATTTGGCCAAAATTAATAAAAAAACTATAAAAGATGTCAAAGATTTTATAAGGGTTTAAATTATTAAAATATTGTTCAGGTAAATTAAAAATTAAATTATTTTTAAAACTATTTAAAATATCATTATAATTTTTATATACTTAGTTTTATATATTGGTTTTGTACAAATTTTAACTTAATTGAATCAGTAGCGGCGATTTTATAATGATTTAAATACAAAAATCTTGTGAAAGTAGATTAAACATAATATTATTTTGTAAACTATTTAATGCATCTTTATTAAACTTTAACAGGGGTTTTGTGTGTAAATATCCTTGATTTGGTGAACAATTTTAATTTAATTAAATTATTGGTGGTGAAATTATACTGGTTTAACCTACAAGTATATCACAAACAACACGTAATTGATTAGATTTTAGGCTTAACAACCTTCAAAATTTCCATAAATTTTGTTTAAATAATTTACAAGAATGATTTTTTAACCAAACGATGCAGAAATGTTCAATCGCACATGGTTAATAATTAATTAATTTTCCTTAATGAGTAGATTATTTTCCAATAGTTAGTTCTAATTTTTCTTTCAACGTTAAAAATCATAGGTTCATTTGTAAATTTCTACTTTTTTCTAGTTTTAAGTTTATTATGAGTTTTTTACAACATGTTTAGAAAATTACTTTGAAAAGTAATTATATTTTTTAAAATAGTTGAAATGCATTTTTGACTTTATGAATCTTATAATCGCGTTAAAAGTAGTTTGATAATCTCTTTTTGTCACGATTTTAATTTAGGCACGAGCAAACTTGCGAGCGAGTGCTAAATTAATGAGTGCCTAGACAAATTTATAAACGAGTTGCATAGCAAACTTTTTCTACGAAAAATATTTAATAATATCTAAATAAAACAAAACAAATATTTAAAAAGTAAAATTAATATTTTTTTACAAAAACTTTTTCTTGTATATTATTGTCTACTTTTTTTGTGCTAATTTTATGATGTTCCACAAGGCACTAATCTTTGCCCACTTCCAAATACTAAACTTAATAACTTAATAAAATAAACTTAATAACTATTTAAAAAATGACAGGGTATTTTTTTGATTGCCGAAAAATCCGGTCAACATGTTTGTGCATCTACCTTATTAACGTAAATGATCATAAGAAATCTGTTTTAAACCTAGAGGCTCAATACATTTTGTGATCATTTTTCAGTAATAGTTTCTATGAATCGTTTTGTTTTATATCTCATTTGGATCTAATTAGGTTTAATTTTTAAAGTAATTTCATTTCTTTTATTCTTTCTTAAACAGCTCGGGTCATTACTAATAAAATAAGACCGTAAAATTATTCATTGCTTCTTGGAATGGATTTTTCATTCAAGTTTAAGAAGGATGTATAAATTATGTTTTAGGACTTAATATTTCAAATAATTACATTTTAAAACAACTAAATGGTTGTAAAATTTGTTAATTAGTTACTTTTAATTAAAAATATAGGTTAGCAATTATAGTAAAAAACAGAAAAGTTTAAATATTACAAATTTTATTAAAACTATCAAAAATATACAAATAAAATAAAAAAGTATTCCCTTCAGGCAGCCAATTTTCTTTTTGAAACAAATTTCCTAGAAACCCTTCTTGGTGGCAAATATTGTCTATTTTGAACCACTGGTTTCACCGTTGCAGGCAAATAACTTCTATTAGGCGAAAATGTTTTTTTTGACACTGCAGCTTTACTTGGCAAATAGGTTCTTTTTGGTTGTACTCTACTTTGAGGTATCCATGTTGTTGGTCTAAAACTCTTCTTTGCTACCTCTGGTTTGCTTGGTAGATATGCTACATTTGGTACCGTTGGTTTAGAAGGTAGATAGGATCGTTGTGGCATCACTGGTTTAATCGTGGTAATTGGCAATTCTAAAGAGATAGTTGAAGTACTATGTGTATCAAGTACTGATGTATTTTGAGGTTTAGATCTTAAATATTGCCTATTAAATGCCGACGGTTCATATTTGTAATCTCCACGATATATATTTTTTTGATTGTAATGTCCTTTTGGTACCGCTGGTTTAGAGGGTAGGTATGATCTTTGTGGTACCTCTAGATTGATAGGAGTAGATGGTAATTCTTTTGAAATAGTTAAAGCTGTATAACTTGATACCTCTGATTTACTTGGTAAATAGGCTCTATTTGGTGCCGCTGATTTAGAGAGCAGATATGATCTTTGTGGTAACACTGGTTTATATAGTGGTTCTGAAGAGGTCTTTGATGATGAAGTTGTTTGTGGCAAAGCTAATTTATTTTGTGGTACTCTAGATGGTAAATATTGCCTATTGGGAGCCACTGGTTCATATTTGTATCCTCCACGATGTATATTTTTTTGGTAGTACTGTCCTAAAATAAAAATATGATTTATAACAACCTATAAGGTCTAATAAAATCTGAAATACCTCCTGAGGTATTTATAGATGCAATTTGTGGTTTAGCTGGTAAATAATGGCTTTGAGGTGCCACTGATTGATATTTGTAACCTCCACGATGTATATTTTTATGGATGTATTGCCCTACAATTAAAAAAACATAACCAAAAACCTCACAACAACTTTCAAACCTACCATCTTGAGAACCATGTCTTAGAGCATGTTGTTTATTGTATTCTAGGGACCTTAGGATGTAATCTGGAATGGGTGGTGGAGTGGGTAAATGAGCTCCTTGTGGTCTAAATCCATTTTCATCTGCCACATATGTTAATTGGTAGTTTTTCCCATCTGGTGATTGGAAAGAGAAGCCGCCGATTGCTTGAACTCCTCCAATACCTTTGAAAAAATAACTGTTTGAGTATATGTTGATGAATTTGGTTTTTTTAGTACCTTGTTCATGTACTGATGTACCATGGGCGGTTTTGTAAGAATACTTATATTTACCATCACCAGACTCTAAAATTTGTGCTTGAGGGACTCTATTATTGAATGAGTTCCTTGTATAAAAGTTATTGGTAATTAAATTTTGATTTTGTTCATGTCCATTAGATGTAGAAACACCATTGGTACTATAAGTTTCTTTTGGTGGAGTTAAATCGTTGGAATAACCATCGTTGTTTGGTGGGGGTAGGTATCTATTATTTAAGACATCACAGGATATGAATCCAAAAAGAGCCAAAAGAAAAATAATCTAAAACAAAAAAACATGCTTTAACTCAATAAATATATACTGTGTAATACATACTTGTTTCATATTAAACATATTACAGTAATAAAACCAAATGAATGTTGGAACTGAACTGATTTATTTTTTTGGTGGATATCTTTTATATTCAAAAAAATACCCCACTTATATTTAGTTTTGCCAAGATGTTGTGATAATCGTATTAATGCAATTATTACATAAAAAGTGCAAAATAACTAATTTAATTTTACTACAGGAAATAGCCAGGGTTAAATTTAGATGAAATCAATCAAATGCTTTTAAGAAATGTGTTAAGTTTTAATAAGGATGATGATGTTGCCTAACATTAATAGAATTGCATTAAAAACTAAGTAAGATGGATGGTAATATAAATTTGAATAATTTTTAAATTTAATTAATTTTAGATTTGGTTAAAAGTCAAGAATTTTATGTCAAAGGTATTTTTTAAAATGAAAAACTAGTAGTAGTAGAGTCTGGTTTTCGAGTAAAAAATTTGCTAAGACTGCATGAGCTGTTATCTTTTATTATTGCTAAACTGTGTTGTAAATGTTAATGACAATTTATATGCCTTGTAGAGGTATCCTATACAGCACATTAATTAATGCATATATACATATATATATTAGGGTATACTTTTGTTTCACTACTATTTTTATTTTTTCGCTCCCAACTCAAAACCTTGTTGAAAATGTTCAAAAAAAATTCCCTGAAAATTGGACCCCTTAATATTAACTCAAAGTACTCTACCAAAGCGTATAAAGATTTCCCATTTAAAATACACGTTAACTTTGATTATTTTTTTTTAAATATCTATATCTCAGCCGCATTTTATGCTATTGGATTGTTTTAAAATGGGATTTACTTGTAATCAAAAGTTCTACAAAAATGCTTTATGTGCCATAGCTGTAATCTGCACCTGTAGAATAGTACGGGTCACTAAATCTTATTTTAGTGAAAAATTCTCATATTTTTGAAGATATTTCAAAAGTGACTGGATTCTTTGAAAAAATTTGAAAATTTTATTTTCCTTAAAAAAGGTCTTATCAGGTGAATCGCTAAGATTGATATTTGTTGAGATATAAAGCGTTTACATTGACATTTTATGAAATGTTCAGGATTTTCGTACCAAACTTTATATAAATGATGATTTTCAATTGTTTATCAGTACAATTTTATGTAATTACGTTTTTTCTACAGTCGGGTGATTAGAGAAAAATAAATAACTAAATCAATCAAGCATAATTATTAATAAAATAACATGTTGTATGTAATACACCTCGTTATATCAATTTTTAGGTTAGATATATCTTTTCTCTTTAAAGTTATGTTATTAATAATAATTATAATTATTATGCTTGATTGTTTGAGTTATTTATTTTTCTCCAATCACCCGACTGTAAAAAAGTTTCAAAAAGGGATTTACTCGTAATCAAAAGTTCTACAAAAATGCTTCATGTACCATTGCTGTAATCTGCACCTGTTGGATGGTACGGGTCACTAAATCTTATTGTAGTGAAAATTTTTAATATTTTTGAAGATATTTCAAAAGTGACTGGATTCTTTGAAAAAATGTAAAGGACAAACTTGTAGAAAATTTAATTTTCTTTAAAAAAGGTCCTATCAGTTGAATCGCTAAGATTGTTGAGATATAAAGCGTTTACATTGACATTTTATAAATTTTTTAGGATTTTCCTACCAAACTTTTTATAAATGATGATTTTCAATTGTTTATCAGTACAATTTCATCTAATTACGTTTTTTTTACAGTCGGATGGTTAGAGAAAAATAAATAACTCAGGCATAATTATTAATAACATAACTTTAAAGAGAAAAGATATATCTAAACTAAAAATTGATATAACGAGGTGTATTACATACAACATGTTATTTTATACATCTTATAACTTGACATTAAAAAATTAATGAATTTATTTTCTCGTATGCCATTTTTTTTTAATTTTCGCTGCACAGTTTTGCTATAATAAACGATAATATTGACTGTGTCCAACCAAAATTATCAATCTGTTATTTTCGTCTAGAATATCCGGCACCACTGGATTATGAACATTAGATTACCAAATAAATTAAACCACATATCTACCATAATTTCGTTTTTAAAGTAAATTGTTAAAAAAAACACAATTGTATTAATTATTATAATAAGTTTTTGTTTTAAATAATTAGACTTTTATGGTTTTCTTCTCTTTGTTTGTTTTCTGTTGCTTTATTTTTGGTCACATACCTTTTTGTTATATTTTTTTGTAGTGGACTAATTTTTAGATTTTAAATAACACTGCATATAGAACTGTCACTGCCACTGTCGAAAGCGTAAAGCTTTACCATAGAAACCAACTAAGTCACAATCATATCAGTCAAATTATTCAAGGGACATTTAAAAAACTTAATAATGTTTATGAAGATATCTCCATTATTTAACATCTTATTCGTCTAATGAATTCTTTAGACAATAAAATTTGAGGTATGCAAATAAAGCTAATGCTAAGTATGCAGCGTATGGTTATGGCATTTGGTGAAGAGAGCGTTGCATTAAAATGCGAAATCACTTAATAAAACAACCAGCCGGGCATTATAACGACACTGTAGTAACAACGTTGTAGCCATGTTGTTAACTTTAAACACTCTCAGATTAGGAATCGCTAACATGTAAAGTGCATTAGGCTGCGAGTAGTCCTTTTTCAGACGAGCGCGCAGGCCATGTCAAGATCGAACTTCAGACGCGTTCTGTTATCGTTTTCGGTTTTATGTTCAATACATTTTTAAATTAAAACCTAAGAATTATTAAATTGAAATTTATGTGTAAAACTTTGCTTATTTGTATAATCAAAATGTTTGGATTTTACAACATTTTTATATTTTTAATTGTACAATAAAAAATATTTGACACACCATCTCAAACGGTTGTACTGTTGCTATGATTAGTTGACGAGATTTAAAGTTACTTTTCTTAGCAACAATAAACTTCATGAAAAATTGGATTTCAAAATAATTTTTTATAAATTTCTCGCGTTGATTTGTACTTTTAATGGTGTATGATATAATATATTATATTATATATAGGGTGTCCAAAGGTGTGCTAACTTTGTTATTATTATAATAGAGTTACAAAGTTGGTCATATTGGCAAATTGGTGGCATTTTTTTATCTGATTAAAATGGTGAAAACATCAGGTTTTCGAAATATTCCCATTTTTTTTTTAAATTAAACACCCTGTATATTTTTACATATTTCGACAATTTAATTTGAAACAAATAGTATATTATTATATATAAATAATAGTACATTATAATACGAGAGATAATGCAGACTAATATGCGCATAATCCCGAGAGTAATACTATACTTTATATACTCCAATAAATAGATAATTAAATGATTTTCAAAATTAAATAAATAAAATCTGACATCTGTCAAATGGTTAACCTCACTTTTTACCAATTTTAAATGTTATTATAGTCGCCTTCTTCCAATTTAAAACCCGATTGGTTCAAATCACAGTGAATATTAAAATCGGCCAATCACTGTTGCCTAACAACGTGAATAATGATTTAATTATTCACGTTGTTAGGCAGGAAATTTATATTGTTTATTAATATTCACAGAAAAACCATAAAATTATGCAAAAGAAGTAGATAAATAAATAAAATCTGACATCTTTCACTTTTTACCAATTTAATTGTATATTATGTATCAAGTTTGATAAACGCTATTTTAGACACAAATTGAATTAAGAGTGTGAAAAGTTTATAAACTAGTTTCTTACCATACTTTTCTACGACAAATACTTATTATTATCTAAAAATAATTTAAATGTTTGTATACAGCGACATCTGCATATAAAACAATAGGTTTGTGTTACCGTCAAATGTCAAATTTGTATGTGTTATGTATCCCTTGAAAATGGATTAACAACAGTTTTTCACAGTGAAAGTGAAGAAAATGTTTTATGAGCTCTTCACGGTGGAGTCCGAGCCAGAATTTAAGTTATATCTAGTTTACTGCCAGCGAAATTAAAAGGTCAGTATAATGTTCATAAAAACTTTTCAAATATTGGCGTTGAGAAACTATTTAATGCTTTTGTATTTTTGTTTTGAGGTAATAAAATAATTTTCATTTTACATACTTTTTTATATAATATTTTGTAATTTTTACAATAAATTATGTTTTACTGTTATAATATTATACACATAACTTTTTGTTAAGTTGCAAGTTTATGTCTTGGTAAATACCAATAATATTAAAAATGTTTTGGACAATTACTAAAATATTTTATTGAATTTTTGACCCAAAAATGAATATTTTTTCCATTATTGCAATATCTTAAAATATTTTATTACAAATCCCTTAAAGTTAAACTCCAGTGTTAATCTCGAAAACATCCGAGTACAGCCGAACCATCCGATCTTGGCAAGGCCCATTAGAGCCTTCACTTGTGTCATTTAAATAGTATTAATAGGCAATTGCTTTTAGAAATAATCGGTCAGACATTATTGTGACTTGGTAAAAACATTCTACCTAATCTTTTACATTAAACACATAGTCGGAAAGCATTTGCATGCAAATCACTACGAAATTTACTATGCCACCATCCGAGCAATCCCGATAAATAAATGAATTCCTGGAATTCGAACGCGAAACCTTAATTTATTTCAATTTATTTCAGTTCTTAGTTTTACTTGGTATAGTTTGCTTGTTTAAAGTAGTTTTATAATTTCATTTTAATTACAGAAGATATAAAGAATTTTGCAATCTACATACTATCCCGGCGCATCCGCCATTTTTTTAAAATATTTTTCCCCACTAAATTTAGTAAATATTTTTTTGATACAATTTTTTGATTTTCAATAGTTTTTGTTTAGTTTTTTATTAATTAATATTTTGACATAAAAAGTACCTACAGTCATATATTTTTTTAGTTTATAACCATCTATCTGCAAGACGAATGTAACCTCACTTTTTTCCAATTTATGATAAAGCTGACTTATAAATGTATATGTCCCAGTAAAAGTTTTATAAACTTTTCTAGGCACT